TTTCTATGATGTCCTTTCTTTATTTTTCTTCTCTTAATATTGGCTAAAAATATATTCTATAATGTCTTAATTTATTTATGTAACTGGTTCTGTTTTAGTTAAAAATTTTGCCTTTGTGGAAATTCTTTAAGAAATATTTTTTACTACCTATTTAAAGAGTTTGAGGACTACTCCAATGTATTTGGAAGTGATCTAAAGCGCTTCAAGGTATATTAAGGCAGTTCATCCTAAGATAACCAATCCAACCTAAGTTATATATATAAGACCCTCGTCGAAGAACTACTAACCATCTTGTAAGTATAATTATGTCTCCCCAAAGAATTAGATTAAGATACTATGGGTTTTCTCAATGAATCCAATTCTGCTCTAACTCCTGAAAGCTCAACTGAGTATGAGAAAAAAACCACAACACATTCTGGAATCCCCTGAACAACAAGAAGCAACCTCCCCTGGCCTTAAATAGAGGAGATTCCTTTTTCACTCCTGCTTAGTTAAGATTCTCGTTGTCGCTCCTTACATGTTTCTACTAGAAGAATAGGTGAGCTAAGGATCTCTTAAAAGAGTGATCAAGAGCCTGTCAAGATTACTTATTTTGTTCTTACTCTGAATCAAGTCTACCTTATTTTTCGATGTTTATTTGAAAAAAAGAGTCTCTGGGTATAACAAAGCAATAACCTCCTTCTAAGTAATGTCTAAGGACCATGTCAGACGACAATATTTTAACAATCTTGTCAAACCTGCTGCCCCCCCAAGGGAGATACCATCCAAAAAAAAAACTAACGGAGAATTTCCCTCCGGATAACTGCCGTTGACTATCTAAAAACAGGAGGGTTAGATGGAAAACTAAATTCCAAAAATTCTAAATCTAATGATGGTGATTTATCAGGAATTGATAGAATCCCCTAAAGTCTGTAATTTATGGACCCGCTTATAACAAAAACTTGACCATAGGATGATCAAGGCCTGTTTAATATTAAGGCCCTGTCCTCTCTCAAAAGGAGAAACGGGAGGGGCAGAGGATGCCCTCAAGAGGGAAGCAACTTCCGGATCATTGTTTCTAACTATTCAAAACTCCAGTAACAGGAATTCAGTAAAACAGTATGCCACTATAAAATTCATGTTTTCAAGACTCATTATCACTCTATAATAACTTAGAAGAAATCATTCTATAGGAAATCATTGTATTTAGAAATTTTCAGGGCCAGAATCTTCTTCCTTCTATATTTTCTTTAAAGAAAACTTAAGTAATGGAATGAATAAGCGTTTATCCATTAATGGATACTGTCTGAACAGATATCTTTAGTCCTCTTAGGCCCGGAGATCAAAACACATTATAAAACCCCGGTCACATTGTATATTTAAACAAAAAAATTAAATTTCAAACAGCAGAAAAACTTTCTAAAAAAACAACCCAGCATTACCCATGCCAAAGCAACAAATCAGAAACAAAAATTTCGGCTTTATATTGAAAAGAGAGAATGACTACCCACAGAGGACCCCCAAGGAAATTAAAGAGGCAGATGAACTTCCATGCCCCCAACATAGATAAGAAACAAAGCCAACCAGTCAAGATACCCAGACCAGTACATAGACAGGAAAGGACGCATCCAGGCATTACGGGACATCACAAAAGAGACAAAAAGAGAGCAGCACCCATCCCCAAGAGCCCATAAAGGTAAAGATATATATAACATTTCTGAGGATAAAAGTGGAAATAAATCTGAGACTGCAAAACTTGGTTTAATTATTTAAGTAGAAGAGAAGTCTCCACTTAAAAAATCTGCGGTCAAGGAAGGTTCACGAACAACTCCATTCCGAATAGACAAGCTACCTATAGGAGTTATAAATGTATAAGAGAAATCCAAAGCCTGACTTAACTCCTTAACATTAAATCTAGTAAGAAAACACGCCTCAACTGGACCAATTCTTACCTAATGGAACACATTAAGACCTCTGAGCCCGCCGCAACTTATATTCTGTATATCTCAGTAGACGTAACTCGAAACACAAACTCGAACCAAAATCTAACCCGAAAATCATCAACCTCTAATAGGACACCAAGAACACGCAGCTTCTACTGACCCTGACCAACCAGGAACAGCTAATTAAGAACTTCTACCTACGACAAAAAGTAACTGGATCCCTCCTCCCTCAATTCCCAGGAAAAAGATTCCAGGGAGGAGGCGCTCCATCTGAATCAAGACCTTGAATATCTAAGAAAGATTAAACTAGAGTCAGGTAATAATTTTAATTAAGTTAATAGTCTGATTCCGGTAAAATCTTTTGATATTATCGCTCCTGACCCAGGGAGTCCGAATCTGGAAACAGAAAGGCGGAGTCTCAGATCCCAGGTCCATGTTAGTACAAGGAACACTAGGAGTGATTAATTCCAGAGGGTATTATAACCGTAAATCCTTAGTCTTACTAGATTAGGCTACAGCCGCCAAAATCCACGACGACTAAAAAATTGAGGACATCTCCAACTATAGCTCATATAGCAAAAAGCAGACTTCTCCTTCCTACTACGCCTATATTAGTAGAGTGCACCAATGACAGATATTCCGAAACTAGGGACAATTTAAGAGGCAGCCACACTACGGACCCGGGGGCCTGAACAGACACAAGACAGGAGCAAGCCAAACTTCAATCTCAAAACGGAATCCAGGCCGAAGACTCAACACAACACCGATACGACTCCCCACAGATTAAGATAGAGCTCCCCTATATCAAACAGCTTAACGACCATGACCCTAAGGTAAAATATCGAAAGTCAAGATAGAGCCACCTGAAAACTATCTCAGCTGCGAAATCCGAATCCGGAAACAAGAAAAACGGTCAAACTGGACGAGAACCTAGCTATCCAGCATCACATAGGGTTCCAGTGAGGGGACAGAAAAAACAGAACAGGTCCGGACCTCAGGAACCACGTCACTGTGACAAATCGTCTAAAAAAACTCGGACTTATGATGGATTAGAAAGTATAAACAGATTCTGATCTCTCCCCTACTGAGACATACGAACGAAGCGAGACATCCCAAACAGGAGTCCTGCGAAGGAAATCACAGCCATTCACAGAGAAAGCCGAACATATGCTGATAAAATACTTAAATTCTAAAAAGAGCGGCTTGAGTTACGTCTGCCCGCCACAGCAGTTTCGAGAAGGGAACGACTCAAGCGCAGATATGACTATGAAAGACAAAATTAAGTCCATAAAGGAACAACACGTACAAGCTCCCACCCTAACTCGGATGATCCGCAAGGATCTCTAGAGAACGGGTTGAAGCCCAGACTTCCGCCAAAAAAGCAAGGAAGCCCCCAGGTAGGCATATGGACTCCAACTAAAGCCAGAAATCTTGACCCTCAGGTGCGGATAAAGTTTAAGAAATCTGCTGAACCTTCAAAACTAATAGAAGGAGGGAGGCATCAGGAGATTAGTGGTCGGAGCAAGGAGAAGACAGACAAGCCCCAGCAATGACCAAATGAAATGGTGTAAAATAGGAACCCGGGGAACTGAGCCATAAGAATACTTGATTAAGGAAGCGAATAAGCAGGAGGCAACTCCCAAAAGACATGGCTAAGATTTCGAAAGCGAATCATACACCTCTCCAGAAGGGGAGGGGGTAATATGAAAGGAGGAATCTAGAGCCAGGCCCCCAGGGACTCAAAACAAACAGAGGAACAGCAGCCCCCCCCGAACGACATCGAAAGAGACAACCTCCCCCTAAAATGAATCTCCAGGCGCGGCCAAAGGCAACGAATCTGAAGGGGAGGAGGACCTGTATAGCTGGGGAGTATCTGAGGACCAATCCCCCCAAAACAAAAGGAGAGAAGGGTCATCCCAACTGGGACAACTATAGGATTCCCGACCCACCGCCCACCACCGCGTTGAGGAAGTCAGATCAACAGATAAGGGTAGGGGTCCCTTGAGGCCAGCGTCTCGTCGACCAACCAGGAGGGTGCACAGCCAGTCGAAGCGGAAGGGTATCAGAGCAGGTGAAAATCAAGCCAGAATAGACTCAGACACTCAGAAAGGGGACAACAATTAATCACACTAGGCATATGGTCTCTAAGAAAAAATCAGGATCTCAAGGGGGGGACAGAGCTCCGAAAAAGAAGGGAGACAAATATTCTGAAGGAGGTAAAAAAACTTTACGGCGGGTGGGGGAAAGGGTAAACAAGACTTCCCCTGGGGGGGAGCAAGGAGGACTAGGGAAGAGCTTCGATCAAGAAGACCCACGAGGAATAAGGGAGGTAATCTTTCAACCCCAGGCCTTAAGACGGAGTCTCCGAGTATTGGACACCTATAACCCCAAGGAACAGTCAGGTTCAAAGATAGGGTAAGACTTGGATTTAATATGGAAGAGAAGGAGGAAGAGAATATCTAAGGAAGAGCCCAGGAGGTCGAGGGGCAGGGCGGAGGAACAAAAACAGATAAATTACGCCAATGAGTTCCTAAACGGAGAGATTCAACAGCTAAGTGGCATAACATTAGAATAGTCGACGCCAAAGGGGAAGAGGGGAAACCGAGCAAGGAACGGCAACTGTCCCAGCAAATCATCCCAAAGGAGAAGCGGGACGAGTAGAGGATAGGACCAGGGGGAGACGAGTGAATGCTGTGGGGTGTCTACCCGGGCGAACAAATCAAAGTAAAAGACGAATCCGAGCAGGCGGCGAAAAATGAACGGGAAGTAGAGGACGGGTGATTCGCGGAGCGCAAATTCAGACGGCACAGGACGCGTCGATTAAGGAACGATAAAGAAAGTAGAACGTTCCAGCGCAAACGTATCGAAATCGATTGATCCACATATCTCGGCCCCCCCCTGGCAGTGGAGTCCGAAGGACCGACCAGGGAACTTGACGAGGGAACTCGGAAGGGTTACGGCGGACAGGGGCCGAATACTGAGCCTGACCAAGTAGACCAGCGTTAGGAGGGAAGCAGCAGGGAAGCTTCCCCTCACGGCCTCAGGAGTAGGGGAGCAAACCCCAGGAAGGAGGAAGAACGGCGATTCAGTAAGTTAAGGGGGGGCCGAGTCCCGAGCAGGATGGTTAGGGGCCCAACAAGATGCGGAAGCTCAAGTCTCTGAGGGGGACCAGGGCGAAGGACAGCCAAGGATCCAGGGAAGAAGGGTAACGCGAAGAATCCGGAACCGTTGGGAGGGCGTCGGAGTATATTGAGGAAGGGGGTAGAAGAACTTTCGGGACAAGGATAGGCATCAGCCAGTACAGGGACGTACGGGGGGAATAGGAACAAGAGGACAGAAGAGGGGTCGAAGAAGTCTCCACTCAAGAAACGTCTCGGGAAGAATCAGGTCCCGCGCCCTGGGGGGCGTGAGGTGGGAGGGAACTCCGGAGAGAGAGGGGGGAGGCCAGACGAGGGGCAATTACAGGAGCTCGAGAGTCAGATGAAGGGGAAGGTGCATGAAAAGAGCAGGGACGAGGCTCCCCCCGAACGAAGGAGTAACGGGCGGAATCAGGATAAAGAGAAAAAGTCGACCACACCAAGTAAAAAACTCCTATTCCAGAGAAAACCGGAATCGCTAAAGGTTTAGGGGGAACGGAAGGAGGAGCCAAGTTAAGAGAGGGGCAGAGTAGCCGAATGAGGATAGCCAAACCAGGGGAGGAAGTAGGAACAAACGAGAACCCGGGAGGGAGAGAACGGACGGAGCAATCTGGACTCGCTAATAATTACGAGGAGAACAACTGACTAAAGAGTGAAGGAGTCAGGCCCACGTTTGAGAGACCACTCCACGAAGGATTATCAAGAGGACAAGAAGTAGACGAGAAAATTAGGAGAGTCAAGAAGTTCGACCTCGCGCCGAAGGACCAGCGCCACACTAAAGGCACATCAGATCATACACCCAAACGGGAGGTCGTGAGAAGCTAGGAAGGCGCGTAAAGGGATGACAGAGAGGGAGGTCAGGAGCCAAGAACAAGAGTAAGGCCCCAGGAAGATGAATTATTTCTGGACAACAGCATCGCCGAGGTTGGTTACGGCCGAGTCATACTGTTCAGAGGAGTATGACCAAAAGTATTGTTACAAACTCCCAACATTCCAAGGCAAATATGACAGAACCAAGCAGGGCCTGGCAACGTGGCTAAATAGCTTAGGAGTAGGGACCAATAGGCTGAGCAATCAAGCTGCGGGATATGTTAAGGGGTTTCTCAAGAGGGGGGGAGACAGAAGCCCTTTAGAGTGGCAGGATATAGTAGATGATATAATAAACTTCATGGTAAAGAACAGTCGCAACAGGAACAACACGGATGAGGATAAGGGATATCTGGGCCTAGCGGAGACTCGACTGTGGGAGGCTTTCATCCCAAGAGAAGACAGGACCCCCTGCAACAACAGAAGCGATTGCCAAAAGCTCTTGACATTGATTGGTTGTGTGATATATTGGTTTTGGGAACAGGGAACCGATCTAATTAGGAAGGAGGGCGTAGAATGGCAAAGCTGCAAGAGACTAAAGAAAAAATTTCTAGATAACAACAAAGAACTACTGACAATAGGAAAGGGAGGATGGACCAGAATTCAAAGGTCAGGGGAGGTTTGTCAGAGTGGGAACTCATTTAGCCAATGTAGCGTAGAGTCCCTGAGTATAGTATTAAGTGTAAGTCATGCTCTGGCAAATCTCTGTCCTGACTGTCCACAGCCTGGTCTAGACCATATATTAGGGGACAGGATTATATTTGAAGACTTCAAGTGTTTTAAATGCATTAGAAAGGAAGGCCAAGAGGGATTATGTCAGAGAGTCGACCAATGTGAGGGGCAGACAGTGAACAAAGACGGCATATGTTTTTGTGATCCCCACCAAGTTCAAGATTTCCCCACCAAGAGGGAGGAAGAACGAAGCATATCTCAACAGGTCCCCCAAGTTTCGATCAAGGACCAATCCAACAACAGCCCAACGAGCGAAGGGCGTTCAGAAGTGAACCAGGCTCTAAGGCAGGCTCAGTCCCAATCCCAAATCTCCGGCGAAACCCAAAGGGAAAAACAGCCAGGAAAGGGAAACCACCTTTCCCAATCACTAGATGTCTTAGACCAAGAAACTAGCCGAAGAAATTCTGGAGGTATCGGACCAACAGCAAATCTTTCAACCCAACAGGATGACCGGTCTCAGCGAAATTCCCTGGTAGGCGAAAGCAACTCAACCATCCAGGGAAATCATCTCTCGGGACCTACAAACCAGGACAACAGCCCCCCCCAAACCGCACCAACCAGGGACCAACGGGCCCCCCCCCCCCACCGAATATCACAGGGGGAGTCTAACCAGGAACACGTTGGGGGGGCGGTCGCTGGGGGCATAGTGAGCGTTATAATGTTCATAGCGGCTAGCTACGGATTATATCGGGTTTATGGAAGAAGAAATAGGGCAAAGAGGAGAGATAATGGAAGAGTCCTGGACAAAAAAATCGTGTACTATCGTGCGATGGTTTAGAGGTGAAATAGGATGAGGTTCAGGCAAAAGGGGAAAGTCGGGAATTATGAATAGGGGCGAAGCCTCCTTTCTCGTTGCAGTAAGGTATCGATATAGGAACTTTTTGGCGTACGAATAACGAAGTAAGAAACAACACGAGCTTGGAGCCTACGGGGGGCAAATCCCAGTGTCAGGACCAGGCGCCCGTAGGTTGACTAAACTGACCGAGAGGGTAACGACCAAGACAACAACGACCTGAAGATCATCGTCACTTGATTCAGTCTCAATAACCTGGACGAGTAAGTTATAAAATTCTGAGTCCGTTAAGGCCAAGCACCCGCGCAAAACCCGAGGTTATTTGTGCCTCTTTGGTTGTGAAAGAAGAGCCAAGACACCGAACAGTCATATAGGTGAGGTATGATGAAAGTTCCGAGCGAAGCACGACAGTGCTTCGTAACGGGTAAGTTAATAACAGTGGGCGCCAGATTCACAAAAGGCAGAAGAAGTAGGGGAAGTATGCAAATCAAAGGAGAAGTATTGAGTACGTCCCTCCACGATACAAGTAACCTATCTCCGGAGCGAGGTTAGTGCCACAACAGTTGGAAGAACGAACCAACAACGGCTCAACTTCAAACGGACCTGACGAATAACGAATCCCCAAGAACTAAATGTGGGAAAAGCCGCAGCCAGAAGGGGGGGATTGACAAATGACGGAACAGAAGAACACGGCAAACCATCAGATCTTGATTCTGAAGGGCCCCTAAAAGGTGACCACAAACCTGGGTGACTCACGATCCCCTACAAGCAGAAGCTCTGGAGCCTCATAAAGAATGCAGGGGATTCCGGGCCACAAGTCAAGAGATAAAAGTGCGTACAAGAAACTTCGACAAACCAATCAACCCAGGTATGAAGATGGGATTAAGAGCATGTAAGGTGAAGCGGGACAAAAAGAGGAATGACAAACCCACAAAGTTTGGGAGCACTTATGTCCACCGACGTGGGACGGACCACCCCACACCGTCAAGAGGGAGGGGGAAAGACGCAACAACTCCCGACCATAAGGAGGGGGGGAGGCTCACCGGGGGTGGGATTGTTGACATAATGCTGTTATTGTGAGGACGAATTACAATAGGAGGGTTTACGTTTAGGTTATAGTTTTAGGCTTATAGTTGAGGCTTTAAGGGTCACGTTTGAAGGGCCAGGTTTAGGGCAGGACCTTCAAGCTTCGGATGTAGCGTAGAGGAATTGGCGTTTAGGGTTTAGGGTTAGGGGCTCAGAATCTAGGTTTAGAGTTCAGGTTTTAGGGTTTAGTTTAGGGGTAGGGGGTTTAGGGTTCAGGGTCTAAGGTACCAGGTTTAGGGCTTAGGGCATCAGGAATTCAGTGTCTAGTGTTAGGGTTCAGAGTCCTGGCTTCAAGTGTTAGGCTTAGGATTCCTGGGTTAATGGTTCAAGGTTCAGGCTTAAGTTCCAGGGTTTAGGTTTAAGGTTCAAGGGTCAGGGTTTATGTTTCAGGTTTAGGTTTAAGGTTCACGGTTCGGAGTTTAGGGTTCAGGGGGGAGCTTTTAGAGTTTAGGGTTTAGGGGGTCAGGCTTCAGGATTTAGGCTTTAGTGTTTATGGTTCACGGACAAAGGTTCAAGCTTAGGGTTCAGGGGTTATGTATTAGGTCTAGGATTCAGTGTTTAGGTTTAGGTTTAGTTTTAAGATGCTGGGGTGTAGGGATTATGGTTCAGGGTTCAGGGTTCAGGGTTCAGGGTTCAGGGTTCAAGGTTTAGGGTTCAGGGTTTAGGGTTTAGGTTTAGGTTTAGGGTTCAGGGTTTCAGGGTTTAGGTTCCGGTTATAGGGTTTAGTGTTTAGGGTTAAGGGTTCAGGGGATTAGGGTTTAGGGTTTCAGGTTTCAGGGGGAAGGCTGTAGGGGTTATCTTTATGGTTCACCCTTCAGGGTTTAGGGTGGAGGGTTTGGGGTTCAGGTTTAGGGCTTTGGATCAGTTCCTATGGTGCGTCCGTCAGCTGGGATGATTTATTCTTAGGGGTCAGGGTTGAGGGGTTCGTTTCTACTGTCCAGGTTTTATCTTTAGGATTTACTGTTCAGGTTTAGTTCTCAGGGTTGAGGGGTTACGTCTGTCATTTGTTGTCGCAGGGGTCATGGTTTGATTTTAGTCTTCAAGGCTTATGGTTTAGGTTCTAGTCTTAGGCCGTAGTTTCCATGGTTTACGGTTCACTTTTGAGAGCTTGGGGTCCAGGGACTTTTGGATATTTGTTAGGCTTTAGTCTATCATGATTAGTTGATTA